GTCCCGGCGGGCCGGCGGTACCAAGGACAGCGGCTCCTGGCACCGGCACCCCAGGACAGCGGCTCCTGGCACCGGCACCCCGTGGCGTTGCCACATTGCGTGTCGGACTGTGCAACACCTGCAATTCGTACACAGGAAAAGTGGCATTGATTTGGGTTTGGTTTAGCTTAACCGGATACTGTTATCAAATTCGCTTTTTTGGAGTTGTTGGAACAGTATAATATGTACTAGGAAGAAGAATGATGGTTAAACAGCTCATCACATGCTCACTGAAAAAGATACCTGTTAATACCTGTGGTGTTTATTTTTATGTATACTTGTGTAAATATGTAACTCTTACCAGGCAAACTTGTAAGGTCTTAGGCTTGGAGGCGTTTTTTTTCTTCTGTAAGGCACTAATTCTGGAATAAAACAATTTCTGGCGTTGAAAATGTCACATTCATTCACACACAGATGAAGAGTGGTACAGGAAGGTCTTATTGTACTGGGAACTGATGCCTGACCTCGAAATGCAGGATGTGGAAATTGTGTGTAGGGAGACTATAGAGTAAAATCAAATGAGCCCCTAAGGGAAGGAAGGAACTTAACCTTAAGCAGATGATACACTTGAATTCCATCCTTTTCAATATAAAATAAGTATGTAATAGATAGTAATGTGTATTACCTACACTAGCTATTAAAATGCTATCAAGCACTACAGAAAAAATAAGAAATTCAGACTTAAGCTTAATTGAACACACAAAAGTGCATACTGTTTTCTTTTATTATTGTCATTATTTTTGCTATAGTGCTTGACAGATTATTTCTAACTTCAGTATGTAATTGAGATATAATCTCATTTACTGCTCCTAATAAAAATACTGCTGATTTTTAGAGTGTCAAGTGACATTTCTTGTAGAGAAAGAGCCCGTGCAAGTGTTAGGCCATCTGGCAGTGCTAAGGATCGTGGATACAAAACCCTGTTTAACCCAGACCTTGTGCCCCAGAGCTTTGACTCCCGGTTCTGCCCTCTGCTTTCCAGCTCTTTTTAGACCTCTAAACAATAACGGGGCCCTTGGAGCAATTCCTACAACCAGGGCTGTTGCACAGAAAAATGCTCGTCATAAACACACAACCCCAAAATTAATACATGTAGGCTCAGGGTCTAAAGCAGAATAATGTGATTTGCATTTACCTCTTTTTTTTTTTATCCGTCAGTATTGTAGTCATCCTTCATCAGAACTGAATGACTAATACCAATCCTTCAAAGAAACACTTTAATTTATGTGAATATCGATGTTGGTCCATAAAAATAAATCAAAAGTTTTTAGATTAAGGCATAGGTCAGACTGTGATGTTTTGGAATGCTATGACTCGGTAATGCCATATCATTTTCTACTTAGTTCTCATGTTAGGGGTTAGTAATTTCTTTAAAGGCACTTAAGTAATTTCTGTTTTATTCCTTTTATATTTATAAAGTATATTTAAGTTATATATTTCTGTAATACAGCTGAGTAGTTAAGGAGTCTAACTGTAGAAATGTATTTCGTAAATTGCCTTACCACTTACACGTTATCATGGTGTTTTTAAGATAAAATTCAATTTTGTTGGTGATTTTATACAGTATGTTTTATAAAAGAGTGTTTGATTCTTCAGCATATAAAGTGCATATATACTCCACTGAGCTTATCAAATATTGGTGGACCAATGACCAAGTTTATTTGATAAAAGCTTGCAAGTTAAAAAATGTTCTTCATAAATTCCTCAGAGTCTGTAAGAAAAAAATTCTCAATTTCATTTAAAAAATAAACTCAATTAGGACCTCGTTCTGCAGTCATGTCCTATTTAGAAGAGTGATTGCAGTGTGCCATACCTCACCAGACAGACATAAAGGATGCTACAGGCTAATGAACGATGTTTCAGCCTTATAATTCAGATGGGCAGACTCTTTCATAATAGCATTTATTGCTGATATATTGTAAATAAATAAATAAAAAGAATCTGGGTAATTTATTTAGAAGTGCTTAATTAATTTTATTTTTATTATTTTTAAAATGCTAAGATTGTGTAAAGATATGGGATGAAGTAGAAATATGTGTGCAAATGCAAATGAATGAAAATGCACTTTCTGTTTTCAGCGGAACTTTCAGGATTGCTCTTTATAGGCGACGCAATTCTACAGGTAAGTAAAACTGCAAATTCCTTTATTTATGGTTTTCTAAAAAAGTATAATGAAATCTGTACTTATGAAATGTAGAGTAAGTTTTCTCTCTATCTTTTTGATAACAGATTAATGGAATTAATGTGAGAAAATGCAGGCATGAAGAAGTGGTGAGCTCTTCTCTTTTTTAATTTTTTGTCTTTCATAGTTATTGGGATGACACTGTGCACTGACAGCAGGGCACTGGTATCAGTCGCATCGTTATTTCTAAACCAATATGATGGTATCTTCTAGCATGGAAGCAGCTTAGCACATAAGCACAGTCTTTTCTGTGTAGATTTGCCTAGCTGTCCTTTGGTAGGTTTTTATATTTTAGAGATTTTCATTTTATTATCAGAATTTTGGCTGTAAATATTCCAATCTTTCTTCTTTTGTGCTGTAGCTATCAAATTTCAGTAGTGTTACTCCTTTCTGTCTGTGTGAGGTCATTTTAATTTGAAAAACTGTCATTTGCACAATGCTGATGAGTTGTTGTAATCCTTTTTAACCCCACTTTAAAATCCAGGCAAAACTGTTCTGCCTTTAGCTCACTTTTGATGCGCCTCTCCTCCAGTTAAGCTGTTAACTGTAGGAAATTAAAACATATATTAACTATTAAGAGAATGATTTCCAGAGAAGCCATGTGCGTTTCAGAGCTCTATCCACCCTCAGCTAGAAGTATCTTGTGCTTTTGGTACACTTGATTTTTTGACTCTTCATAAGTAGTTTAAGAGGTAGGAAACTCAGCGAGGAACACCAGAAATGAGAAGATTACCAAGTGAGGTACGTCCTTAAATCCTGGGTAAGCCTATGGAATTTACAGTAATCCTATATCTAAATGTTTGCCGACATGGTGTTTCATGCAGACCTGGAGAGGCTCTGCACCCAGTCCTACCTTTCCTATACGACACTGAGGGTCATATATGGGGTGTAGGAGCTCGAGTCAGCAGAGCAAGCAGTGATGGAATTGGAATTCCTGCATCGAACCGTGCATCGTTCTTCAGAGCCTTGAAGGCACCACCTCTACACACGGGCTGGCAGCCACATTTACAGTCCTCGTGAGCTTTGCCTTTGCTACAGGGATCAGATTCTAATCTTTTATAAGCTTAACTCTACTTATTTAATTTAATGTGCATTAACATGATAAATCTCTCAATGGGATTTCAACAGGCTATTAGAGTTTCAAGACATTAAAAAAATTACTAACAAAAGTGAACGCTTTTATACCCACAAAGGCATACTGAAACCTGGTATGACAACACTAGGAATTTTTTGTTCTGACACAATATGTAACTATTAAACTCTTAACTATTAAAATAATACATAAATCTGCTTGCTATTTATAATCAGATATATGCACTTTCTGGAAAAAAAAAAAAAAGTAAAAGCCAGAAGGTGCAGAGTGAATAGAGCAGCATCACCATGCATTTTTTCTTATACTTCGCTCATCCAGTGTAATCTGCATCTTAAACTCATTATAGATAAGCTCTCAGAACAACAACGAGTTGTGGTGTCTTGCCAATTTTGAATATATTTTTGTGTATGTGCAAAGGTTCACTCTTAGGCATTTAAGAAGCAGATAAGTTATTAAGGATATCAGGGATAATTAATTACTAAGAATAATCCTTAAGAAAATTTTAAAAAAGTACTGGGCAATACTTAAGTAAGATAATAGTCCATATGACATGCATAAAATATGCAGCAGAGGAGTTACAAGTGCAAAATAAGCATTAAAAACAAAGCAAATAAATTCTGACTGCTAACCCCATAGATCTTTTTTAAAATATCCGCTGTTGCATGGTCCTTGCATGTCGGGTAAATGCTTTTGAGCACAATCGTGCAAATCCCGGTGCCAGTTCTTGGTGCTGCGGTGGTGGCAGACACCGTCACGCGTCGGGCGGTAGGTTGCGGGTTTAGGGCTGTCTCCTGGTAGAGCACAGGAACATCGGAGTGGTTTGGTGGCAGGAGCTACAGGTGGGATTCAGGCTGCAGAATGGAGACCAAGTGACTCGTTCCAGTGCTCCTGCCTTAATGTTCTATAAAATAGTCTTTATGAACCAATGTGTGTGCAGAGTGCCAAGCTGAAGATGCTCATAGCAAACTCATGCTTGCTATCTATAGTATCTACTTGCTACCTATAGATACTTGTATCTATAGTCTGCATGCTGTACAGATTGATTCCTGTTCTTCAGTTGAAAAAATCAGGTCTGCGACTTCTTGCTCTTTGCAGAGACGTTTTAAGCAAATGTCACATCTTCATAGCTCTGCAATAAAAAGTCTGTGATACAGGCAGTGCAGCCTGTTGTACTGTAGAGGTGATTAATTGGCCCTGACATTTCACTGTGCTTTAATGATATATATCTTACACAAATAAAATTATTTTTCCATTTGAATTTCTAATTTAAGTAGTTTAATCTTTAATTAAAAAGTATTTTTTAGAAAAAAATAAGAAATTAATTAATTTATTTTCTCAGTATTTATAGTTTTAGGCAAATCATTTAATTTTGAGTGTAGTTTTCCATTTGTACACAGTGGAAGTTATTCAACATAAGGATATTGTGAATTTACATTAAGGCTGAGTGTCAGCTTGCTGTTCAGCTAGGACCTTGTCTGAATACCACGTAACAGTGTTTCAGTCAGTGCTCTCCTTGGGCTTTGGGATAAAATGGGAGTAATTTGAAAAATAAAATCTAATTATCCTCTTAAAAATGTCTCTCAACATCATATTAACAGTTTATCACAAAAAAAAAAAGAAATCATTTTATAGATGAATTTGGAGGGCTCTGTATATATATATGTATTTTAAATTTTGCATGAGTTTATACTCATTCTGCTCTGTATTTATTCATTATTTCCTTTCCAGTCCACTCGACATTCCACTTTACAAGATTTTTCAAAGCCGAGGTTAGGAGTGACGTGCATGGACAGGCGTAAAACTCTGCACTTGGGTCTGTTGAGGTTGTTCCAACAACGCGTAACTTCCCAAGCCACACGCACAGGGCCCTCAATGGACAGGATAGGATATAAGCTTGGGAAAATGTGTCTATGCCCTTAGCTCCATTTATTGTCCAAGCTTATAGCAAAGATAGGATGATAAACTGTTGTTCTGGTCGCACACAGAGATGTTTTTACGGTTCTAGACCAGCCCCTGCACTATTAACAAGGTCAGAATTCCGGGCGGGAGCCGGAGGCTCTGCCGGGAGCTGCGTCCAGCCCAGGGCAGCAGAGGATCCATCCGAGTGCTGGGAACATCGTGCTGGGTCCTGCTCTCCTGGTGGGACCGGGTTAGGGCAGGACAACGTCCGAGGCCACCTGCAAGAACGAGTTCCAGTCAGACCAACGGGGTCCGTGAAGGCAGGAGCAGGAGTGAGAACACTGATGTGTTTTGAGATGTGACGTTTGTCGTTTTTATTGTGCATAAAACATCACAGCGTGTATCAACAACAAAGGTTATCTACTGCTGTGGTTTGGGGTTTTTTTGAATTGTAAGGTTTTTTTTCCTCTCTTATGAAGTAGTATTAGAACAAAAAGGAAATGAATGTGAAATAATATGCTATCTCTTAGAGATTTGAGGGAAATCCAGGCAATGTTTCTAATAAAATTAGAATTTGGATATAAAGGTCTTTCTCGTGTGCCAGTTTTACGGCTCGGGTGTGATCCTTGGACAGCAGCAGGAGCATTTGTTGTCCAGGAAAGCTAGCATAGCAGAGGGTAGATAGATAGGTGTCTCGGCTGCACGGGTACCGGGACCACGGCGGGTTTGGTAAAGAACCGGCCGTTCTTGTATCGTCGCGGTCTGCGTCACCCATCCCTGCGTTCCGATGCAGGTGCCGTTCCCTGCGGATTACCCGGGAACGGCCTGTCCAGGGCCACTGCGGGCGGCTCCGCTCTCCCCGTTTGTGCTGAGCGGTGACCGCGCCGGGTCGCTGCGAACCACAGACGTTCTGCAAAGCTGACAGGAACCGTGGGCGCTGACCTGCAACCAGGAGCTACTGAGGAGAGCCTGAGCACATCTTTGTTTTTAAAATTGTGCTTTAATTCAAACTGGTTTTTACAGCCATTGTGAACAGTTACAGTATTTTTTTGGAACTCGTTTTAAACAGAAGAATGAGCATAGTGTAGTTAAAGGACAGGATGGGAAACCAAATAATCTGAAATCTCACTCGATCTTGACTTTGACAGATGTATTTTTTGGAAAACTATGTTTGTTGTTATCTCCATTTCCTTAACTGTGAAGCAGACCTAGACTATAATCAGGTTTAGTTCATTAAATCGTGCAAGGTGCTCTAGAATCTGTTGGCAGAAAGGATCCCCACAAAATCTGTTCTACTAATGTTTTGCTATTTGATGATAATGATGAGAGCAGCCTGGAAATATATCTTAACATCTCATATTGCATGGCAGAGATATTGCTTTGTATTGCACATGGCATTTAGCCATTTAACCTCTTCCCTTACTATGTGGGGCCATAAAATACCAAAGAAGTTGCGTGTTCAGAGCTCCTGAGAGAAGACTGTCATAATCTTGAAATTGAAACTTTTTGGTGGTACAGCAGTTTTATTCACAAGAAGCTAAGCTATTCTCCAAGCAGCTATTGTTTTCATTAGATACTCTGGGATTATAACAGTGCTAACACAACCTTAACAGCATCTGTAGCTGAGAACATCCATAATAATACGTTTACATAATGTTCTTATTTTGATCATTAAATTTGGAGTTAATAACAGTCTATTAAATACTTCGGCATTGGTTTAAAATGATAGAATGATCGTTTATCAAGTAGAAAAAAAAAAGAAACAGTGGTTGAAAATACAGTACTTTTTATTCCATGTGGCAGAAATTCCTTGTATGAGGATACGTTCTGGAGCAGAGGAGTTATGTGTTTTCACACACTTTTCTTATCTGGTTCTAGCTTTGCACTTCAAAAATATACCAGTCTGTGCTGCATGTTTCCCAAATGTTTTCTAAAGATACTTGCAGATATGTTAGTTATTTTATTAAGAATCCATCTATTAAGGGTACTTATCTGTACTCATAACTTGTAAAAACAAGGGATGCAGAATCTTGGTATGACTAATGTTGAGTCTGTATGATTAATATGGTCATTTCTTTATTACATAGCTGTGGTCCTCAACACATAAAAATAAATAAATAAATAAGTAAGGGGGGTTTAGTGGGATGGAGTGAAGGAGAGAACCAGCTATTGGAGGGGGACGTACTTCACGTAGCTGCTGTCGCTTCCCCCTTTTGCGTGTGGTTCTGTTACTGTTGGAAGCCCAAGGATCTGTGGAGCAGAGAGCCCGTGGCAGGGCAGGGGTTTCACAGTGCATACCATCACAAAAACCTGCTCTGAGTCAGGGTTTTTGCTTCCATAGGAATCAGAATGAAGTTTTTTAAGGTTTGTTTATATGTGTGCCTGTTTTTCCCTCCAGAATCCTTTTTTGCAAGATTTTATTCTGTACAGTATTTCCCAAGGGAGGTGTAACTCTGTGGGGCTTTGGTCAGAGATTACACTTTGTTTTGCTTTGCCATGTATTTGCTATAAAATAATCATATAATTTGTTTGTTTGTTTGTTTTACTTGGAATAACTACTCAATAACCTAGTGAGACTAGACAAGAACAGCACAAAAAGCACCTAGAGCCACCAGGAAGAGGCCACACATACACAAAGCATTCTGTGGGTCAGAAGTCTGATGTTGGAAGAAAAGAAACCTTCAATAAGTATAACAGTTATCGTCCCTCGTCACTAGTAAAGAGTTTGCATTTACCCGTGTGGAATACAGAATAACAGTAATTTCTGTAAGCGGATGAAGCAGCCGCGCAACGCCGCAGCAAAGGCTGCGCTGCAGGAGGCACCTCTGAACCTCGTGTGGCCTGACAGGACCCAGAGAGCGTGGGACCAACGAGAGGCTGGAAACACCGGGCAGGGCATCGTGTCGTTGGCCTAAGGACCCCGGGGGGGAGGCACACGAGGAAGTGCAGATGTGCAGAAACACGCAGACAAACATTGGGTCTTCCCACATCTTTCCTGCGGTTACAATATCTTATTTCTTCAGAATTGTCATTGTACAATCAGATGGGTGCAAAGAACAAACTTTTCATCCAGGATATATCTAACACCTGTACATATTTTAGGACTTTTAGGATTTTTCCCCCCTACAATGGGTCTTTGTCTTTTGACAGTTTGTTCGGTGGAGGAGGAAGAGGAAAGGAGAGTGGATCCTATGTATTTTTCAATAGTATCCAGTGATGGGCTGTTCCAGACAGATACCTGGAGGTTTCCAGATGCCCACCCATACCTCTCTAGTGTATGGTCCAGTGTGGTACCGCTGTTTTGGTATCTCTGTGTCAGCACTGGGCCTGTTCTGCAGGTGTTCTTTTTTCCCTTGGTGTTGCCCTGGTAGTGCTGCTGTCTCTGGGTTCAAATTGGTGCTTCCTCTTTTCCATTATTTCTTTTGCACAGCAGTGCCCAGTACAACTGGTTCACACAGATCACTAGAACAACTCTGCTGCAGATGTGATGGCAGAAACAAGAAACTTTCCAGTAACATTTCCAAAGAACACTCATTCTCTAGATTTTAGTGCAAAGGATCTCTTTATGCTTTAGGACAAATATCTGCAGTAGTTGCTGCCATCCTGTACTATTAGTGTTTTTTTGATCTAAATGAGAAGTAGCCAGGGATGACTGATTAAATGTCATTACCAGAATAATGACATAGCATTAAATGAGGTCTAGTAAATGTACATAGTTCTGTTCTACTTCACATGCCCTTGTCAAGCCAATACTGATTCAGAATGTATCAAAGGTTCTAATTATGCTGACCCATTAAGAGCAAAGTCCAAGGGAATACGTTGATCAGACGTACTAGGCATATTTCTGCATTCCCTGAATACTGAAATGCCTTACCTTCTTCTAATATTCTGAATATAATGCATTTACATACTACATGAAAAGACATACATAGTTCAGAATATCTTCATCACCTCTTAATCATTTTAACAGTTATTAACATCTTTTAAACTGTCGTATTTACATGAAATATAATACAAAACTCATTCAAAATTGCCTGTATATTTCAAGATACAGTATATTATTTCTGAATTACTGATTGTGGAGAAAAGTGTTGGTGAGACCTAGCTTTTTCCATAAATAATGCTAAGGGATGAAAAACATGTGAAAGCATCATTTTTACATAATATATTAATTATCCTTCCATCAAGCAGTAACTATGGTCTTAGAGTAAAATGAATCTACTGCACAACATGACAACAACAACAAATCTTTGAGACAAAGAACTCCTATACTTTTCCAGTTACAACATATGGAGCTTTAAAATTTGGCAATGCCTAAGCATTCCAAATTTTAGTCTAACAAATACTATTACAGCTCTTTAATATACTATCAGTTGTCAAAATCTTTATACCTCAACCAAAAAATGTTTTCTAAATGAAAGAGTATGCATTTTTGAATCTTTCCATAAAAAATAGTCCTTGATTGCTTTGTGTTAAGTAGCATCAACATTGTTTGCTTGTTGTCTGAATTTTTGTAGCACCTGGTAGCAGACAGGACATTGTAAACCAGTTACCGAGGTTTGAGGGAGCTAGAATTTCTGAAGGTGAGACCTGGACTTCATGCATTCACTTGCTAATATTCTGACATATATATCTAGTAGCAATTTTAAAGAGCATTTTGTTTTACCCTTGTCGAGGTTGCAATATTTGCTTCAGAAAATATACCCACTCTTTTTAACTGTAAATAAATTACATCTTTGTTGTAGTCTATTATAGTCTGAAATGATAATTAACTGCTCACAAAAGTAGATTTCTGTGGGGTTATTGCCTAATTAGGAAAATGGAAAAAGGTAAAATGAAAGATACAATGAGGTAACATTAAATGTGAATTCTGGCTAATGTGATCATTTTAGATGAATATATCAGATTTTTGCTTAGCTTTGAAAGTTAATAGGACCTCAAGCCATAAACTGATAAATCTGTAATTCAGATACATTTTTGTAAGTATACTGAAATACAAATCCAGCTTTTTTATGACATTGGCATTGTTTGCTAATCTCCTTCCTTTCCAATTTGTATACCTTCCTATCTGTAAATATCCTCCATTTAATTAATAACTGATGTGAGTACCTCCAAACTGAGTGTTGCCAAACCCCTCAAAATTCAGATCCTAATGAAAATAATCCAAAAATTCTTGAGACAATAATACGTCTCAAGATATTTGGCTATTTTATTATACCCAATATCTATGTAACTATCCAGCTATCAGCAAAATATCTGTATATATGCCTAAAAGTATAAAAGTGCTTTGTTAAATTGATGACTGCCTTTTTTTGCAAAGAACAAAGTCTGTTTCTCAAATTCAGCTAGATGCAGTAGTATAATAGTACTGTGGCAGAAGAACTGTCATTGTATGGCATTAAGGATATTCCTGTGTTTTCTCCGTTTTCTCTTTCCACTGAGTGTATTCCCCGATGTAATAAAATACCCTGCTCAGACTCTGCGCTACCCAGAAGCTTAGCAGAGAATGTATTGATATAAAACATTACTTGAAAAAAAAAATTATCTAATTATGCTTTACTTCATAGTGAAGTTGATAACATTTAGCACTGAACAAATAACAGTAGGCTCGTGCACTAATATTTATTCAAATTTGGAATTAAATTTGATTTTAAATTCTTTAAGACTAGTTGTGTTCATTTTCCTTGATCATTTATGGGCTTGTGCTTGATTAGAATGAATATTCATGAAAAGTAAATGCTAAGGTCATATTTTCCAACAGCAAATTTTATATTGAATATGTAAATGTGAAATTTGTCCTTAGCTGTTTGTTTGACCCAAGGCTTGCAGATTACTGTGAACAAACCCGTTTTGGGACTCATCTTTCTTTCACCCAAAATTGGGCCTCTGCCTGGTCACACAGGCAATTCAAAGCATGTTTTCAAAAAGCAATCCAGCAAATGCTTAAACTTTTCTCTATTCAGAAGAGATTAAAAACATTCTTAATGTCCTTCAGCATGCTATGGCAACAGGGTCACTTTCCATCTTCAAGCTTTAGGAGCACAAGAATGCCAAGCACTCTATATAGTTTATGAATATATCTGTGTTTTGACTATTACCAATCATCTCTTCACAAGCATGGAGAACAAAACTTACCTGTTCAGTAAATGTGTTAAATATTTCAAACAACACTCCGTTGTGGATTAATTGTTAGAATAAATTTCAAGTGCATGAATAGTTTGAATGAGCAGGGGATTCTCATATGTTTAATAGACAAGCAAATTGCTTCAGTGTTTTGCTAATCAGAGCTAGAAACCTTAGACTCTTTAAGTTGATTACTATAATGAAAAAATATAAAAAGTGCCATATAATCTAACTGTGAAAATAAAGAACTACGAATGCCTTAAAATGGATAATTTCATTTGAATTATTTCCTTCTACTGAGGAGGAGATATTACCTGCAAAATTTGGACCCCTTAATTCGAAATTAGTTATGACTAATGAGAAGAGCACTTCCACTTTCAACCTTACTTTAAAAAAAAAAAAAAGTTGAAAAAGTCAGGTCTTTCACTCTCAAACTTTTGTTTGTTCTAGCATGCAAAAAACCCCAATAATTTTCATAAATGGATTCATCGTCTTACTTATTCCAGTCTTACCTAGAAGGTCTAGGAATCATGCAGATATATATGGTGCAAATTTGTTTATTCTGTGAATTAGATAAAATGCAGTGATGCAAAGCAAGTTTCTTAATGTAACACTAAAAAAGTTTTCAGTCTCTGAATATATTGTGGTGCTTGCTATAGGGTTTGGAGAATCTTGATTGACTAAATCTGAATTTAAGTGCTGAATTATTGCTGCTGACTTTGAGAATGTATACATAACCATCTTCAGTTCACTTTATGACTTTCTGTTCAACAGTGTTAGAGCTTTAATTAAGGCAGCTAATACACTATATGTAATCGTTTTGAGATTTATGAATCCTTTACTATGGGCTCTGTGCCATAATATCTTCAGGTAAAATCCTGATGTTCTGTATAAAAGATGTTGATATTTTTACCTAGAGTCTTGGCTTTCCCATTTAGTTTGTCAATAATTCCATGAACGAAGCTCTGTCAGAATTCAGTGTTTTTGTGCCAGCTCCTAGCATCAGGAAGTGGTATTCCAGTATAATTTGGTTTTTGGCAGATCACTTGATCAGTGATCAGTCAGAAACTTGCTTAATTATAATCAGAAGAATCAATGATTTAGTGTGGAGTGAATCATTTAGTGTGGAGTATTTAGTATTTACTGTGGTAGGTATGTATGACAATGTATTTTGTCCTAAATATGCTTCATAGTTCAAATTGAAGAGATAGATTGTACCTTCACTATCAGAAAATCTTGTTAGAGAATAACAATACTAAAAAATTGCTGCTACAGAGAATTAATAAGTTACAGATTTGGCATGTTCTTACCTTTTTATATTAAATTAGACCGAAACTACTCGAATTATACTATATGGAGGAGTAATAAATGTAGTTTTCATCAGAACGTTATGCAGATATGATCAGTGGGAGGAATTTCCACATATTAATTAAAGTATGCTCTAGATTTTTGTTTAAAAAGAGATTTTAATTTTTACATCTTGTATGTAAAATTAGATCCTTGAGGGTAAAAAGTAATCATTGCTTATTATAAATAAGTTATATGCAAAGCTATTGGAGGTTATTTAGATGTTCTTCAATGTTGATTTTTTAAAAAAATATTCCCCATAACACCAGTGGAAAAGAGGAAAGAAAAAACTTGGCTTCTGATTATTGTAAAGTCCAACACACCTTATGCCTAACATAAGACAATCTCTGTATGTGGTGGGGAATAACCACACTTATAAACAAAAGAGAAGTGTTGTTTTGTGTTCTAATTCTAGATTTTGGTGAGTAATCCTATGATGAATAATAGAACTAATAATAGAAATAATAACAGTTTGTTTCCTGCTTGCTACAGGTTGTGTATTCTGTTAAAAGCACAGCTGGCTGCACAACAGACAAACCGAGGATTTTACTTTGACTTGGTAGCTCATTTTCCTGGAAGTTGCAGAAGATATTTTGTTTGGACAAGCTTTGGGGACACAGGAGGTAGATCTCAGGGAGAGAAGGAGAGTCCATAGGAAGGTTGCAGCCTGGAGGACACTCGTAGTAGAGCAGTCAGCCCCCACGTAGGGAGGCTGAGGGGCCATCCCCAGAGGTGACAGAAGGAGGTTCCTCCAGCAACTCAACCGCT